ATATAAATCCAGTATGCTCAGTCGAAGTCTGTTCTGGTATGCAACAATGTATCATCATTTTAAAATGAGCATTAAAAAATCCAAGCCTGTTATTAGTTTTGCATGCAAAATACTTTATGTTATATCCTATGCAAGGCAGATATGGTCATGGCAATACAATGATATTTGCTGCTGTAAGCCTACATAGTTTTCAAAACTAACATTCAATGCTTAGCTAAATTGCTAAGCAGACTGGTAAATGTCCAATTTTAGCAGCCTAACATATGTTTATAATTTTTGTTTTAACATATGCTATGTTGGTTGAACTCCCCTCCCCACACATACGGTAGATAAAAGCTGTCACATCACAAAATGGTGGCAGCCCAACTTTTCTAACATTTTCCATGGCACTTCAGAGTCTTGCATTAATTAGCTATTCTTGGATAGGAGACAGACTCTCATCTTTGTAGAATTTTGGTTTCAAACCCGTCATGTACTTGGGTTTATGTATGCAGTAGCCCATCTGTGTTTCTGCAGCCGTAAGCTGCAAAAAGCACAGGGCAGAGAGAAAAGCGGTCAGCAGGAGCGAGGGTGCCCTCAGCTCACAGATGCAAACACCGAGCAAATGGCCCCACAAGCTGGCCCGTTTGAGCTCTCAGGAGCCATCTCCCTCTTCCACTTTTACAGGAGAGGTGAGTGAATGAAACAATGTTGGTGCACAGCACTGTCTCCTTTCATTGCGAGCTGTTAAACTACCCCTCTTTTCTCCTCATTTTTCAAAGCAGGTGTAAGGAGGAATTTCACTGAGTCTACGATTCTTTCCTAAGCCTCAGCTGGGTAGTGGAGAATTGTGACAAATACCACTGCAGCTGTGATAATGCTGTCTTAATCCTTGCTGCACTTTGACATGGAAACCTGGATTTAGACATGAAAGGACATTCCTTAACAGTACAGCAGTATGATCCCTTATCAAATCAAACTGCCTTTTGCATGTGCTCCAAAACCATGGTATTTTTTGTCTGATGTATTCTGTCTGCTATTTCCCTGTTGTCAGGCTCCTGACTGTGGTGTAGTTCAGCATGTGTAATGTCTGCTGGGCTGCTGCATGGGGAATGGTTGGTTTTCTGTGGAGGAGGAAGGAGCCTTGCCCATCAATTGAAACGGCTGTAGGAATGTCGCAGTGTCTGTGATAGAGGACTGGTGTTGGCAGGCGTGGTCGTATCTGTGCCTGGTCTATGCACAGCACGGACAGGGTTGTTCTTATGCCTTCACCCTGGGTGGCGTGGATGCCACCTCCTGCCCTCTGGTCTGCCTTGGAGCTGCTCAAAAGCACATGCTAGGTGCAAGCGTAGTTCCAAGCATATTGGCACAACGTAATGTATGATGTCATTCCTATCCAAGACTAGAGTTGTACTGGACATCTCAGTATGGAGATTGAGATCCAGCAACCTCAGCCCATGGAGCTTCAGGGGAGCTGCTGAGGTACCCTGGAATGTATCAGTGGTCTTGTCTGGATGAGGACATGTGTAGTAGGAGGTGGTGGACCCTGGTGCTTGCATGTTCACCTGCAGAGCTTTGAGAAACCCCACGGAGAGCTGCCAGCAGAGCAACCTGTTCCAAAACCCTGCATCTGCATCCAAAACCCTCTGTTGTCTCCCAGCTGCAAGCCAGAGCCACTGTCAAACTCGAGTGCAGGACTTGCTGGTGATGGTGGTGGAGGGCTTTGCTGTCTTTGGGTGGTGGATGCCAGTGGTGGTTGTTCAATGTGTATTTCCCGTTTATGTATTTGTTTTCAGCTACAGGACCTGCAGCTGCTGTTTGGCTCGCTGTTCTTGTTAGCTGGCTGGCAGGCCTTGCTCTGGGATTCAGGTTTTGTCAGTGTGCACAGAAAACAGTTTTGTTTCCCTGGCAGATGAAAAGCATGGTGGAAATAAAGGAAGAAAAGTATACATTTAAACTGCTTTTTCAGACATTTAGAAAAACATAGAAATAAATAAACAAAAATGCATTAATTTCTGTTTATTGTAAAAGAACATAAGTAATTAGTGTGTTCTTAACACCAGGTATTTATTGCTAGAAGAAAGGTAAAGAGATGTCTTTATTTTCCAGTGTTGCCCTCTGCCTTGGTAAACATTACTTTGGTTTGAAGATTTTGTGTACAGTCTGCAGAGTGTAAACATATTTTACTTTCTTTCTTCTCTGTGGTTTCTCTGCCCAAATGTAACTTATCGCCAGTTGAGTTGAACTAAGTCCAATACCATTTTTCTGTAATGACTGTGAAAGAGGAATACGTGACTCTGTGGTGAGAGAGGGAAGCAGCAGAGTGTTGGTGTAGGACTTCAGAGTTTCTGGAACTCCGGGTGATACCGTGTTAGGGGCACATTTAGTGCTTGCTTGCTGTTGTTTGCAGAACTTGGACATTGGTAACTCATAAAAAATTTTCTTATTGCTCATGTTACTTACTGCTCAAATTTTGCTTTGGATTAGAATAATAATACAGGTAATAATGCCATTCAACTATTTATGGCATAGGCATAATGTTAAGATAAAAACTCTTAATACAGGTTCATCTGTGGGTTTTTCTCCTGTACAAGTTTGTGAGGAGTATATATCACTTGCTTAAAAAAAAAGAGTGTTTCTGAACTATCAGAAACGGATAGCAGGCTTCCTCATTACAAATACTGAAATATAATCAGGTAAGCCCTTGAAGATGTAGATACTAGAGTCTCCCTTAAAAATAATGAGTCTTAAGCAAACAAGCAAGAGTTCCCCCCCAGTACCTGTGGTACATGTTCTTATTTCTTTTCCCATAAATTTATAATCATCAAAACTGTTTACATGAAAGCTGAGCTTCTCACATGGTTGTCTGATTCTCAGAGGAATGATATTTAAGAAAGCAGTGAGCATCACAAGAATCACGATAAACTTATGGGAGTTTTTTTGTACATTACGGTTGTGTGTAAGTTTTGAATTGAAGTTTTTAGAGAAATAAATGTATGGGCAGATGGTGATATTTACTTAAGGGAAGCTGAATTCATTATCTGACTAGGACTGGGTATTTCAAGCAGCTGTTTGAAAATGAGAACTCACTTTCCATGAAGGAGAACGTATGTTTCAGAAAAATGGGGTCTGTTTTCAAAATGTAAGACTATCCCTTGCTTAGCCTCTATCATAGTGGCTTCTGATATATGTGTGAATTCATTTATTGAAGAACATTCTCAGTTATGATCAAGAGCTAATTTGATGAAATACCTTTGTAAACTGTTAACTGCCCCCCCTGCCAAAGGCAGTCATTCTTAAAAGTTTCAAAACTAGATAAAATTTATAGCTGTTACTTATTTCTAAAGATATTCTACCAGAAAAAGGATGAAACCAAATATTCAGTAATTTTACACTTCCCCACCAGAATTAATTTCTGTCTATCCAACTTGCCTTTGATTGATTGAGATACAATGACTTGAGGAAATAGACCTATGGAAAACTTCTAGACACAAGCCAGAAGAAAGAAAGCCAAATGTGACCATACTCATTACTTTTTACAGATTTGTTTTTTTGGGACTCTCTAGTCTAGTATGTCTGTTCATTTGCATACATATTTTGAAGCATGAGAGTATGAAAAATAGTCTCACCTTGTTTTTTTTCTACTTACAGTTGTTTTCCTTATGTTCCTGTGGAAAGCTAGCCAGATAGTGTAAACCTAAAGACTGTATCTCTTGAAGACTGTGGGGTATTTATTATTGCTTATGTCCTTTCTTCCCCCAGTTCTTTAAGATTACTTTCACAGAAAATTCTTTTAACTCAGAAAACCTATGGCCCTATAATTCTTGGTTCATAGAGAAATACAAGCCAGTTTGTAGCAGATATCTTTCCCTGATCCCTTAACTTCTAATGCCTCTGTTTTCCCATTACATAATAAGCAAATTTTAATGCTTAATTATTTTACTGGGACCTTTGCTAATATTTCTGAAGCCCAATGATAGATTTTGAAGTAATTTTTCATCTCACAATGGTCTTATGCATATGGAGTGACTGAAAGGTTCATCACTCTCAAAACCCTTTGGTTTTGGAATTGGCTTTGGGCTCTACAGAGAATGCAGCTGTTTACACATGAAGCACAAAGCCTGTCTGTGAACAGGGAGGATGTGTAAAGATGGCCCTTTGATGGGAAATGAGTTCTTCAGTTCAGACAACTTGAAGAATCTCATCACTTTGCCTTCCTGGTACCTGACAATCCTGCCTCCCCTGTACAGCCGTGGAAGCTGTGCAAACAGCCGTCCTGGGGAACGTGTAGAACAAGGGGTTTTTTGATCACTGCAAAATCCTAACACTGGTTCTGACTTTATGCAGTCTTTATGGTGAATCTTGTGCAATACTCATGTGTGAATTAATAAGCTGTTTATATATAAATATATGACTTGTTTGGCCATCTGTTTTTTCACAGTGGTTCAGTAGTTTGAAAGGTTAAACTGGTTTTGTCTGGCATTAAATAAGAATTAGTAATGATTGCATAGTGCGTGCCTCATGCATCAGGTAGATGTGGAACATGTTCTGCAGCTTCTGCTAACGGAGATCATACAGCAATAACTTAATTGCTTGTTACAAGCGAGTTTTGACTGCTGAAGGGCACTGTTAAGTTTCTGAGTTTCTCTTAAGTAATATTAAGTTATTGCCACATGTTTTAATTGGGTGAAAAATAGTGTTTCAAAGAAGGTCTGATGTTTATTTATCTTTAAAGATCATCATCTGGAATGGGGTTCAGGCTAGGTTTAGAGTCATTAATACTATCAGTCATGCAGAAGCCTAATAACTGAATATATAACAGAAGCCTAATATATCCTAGCTGAAATTTGACCACAAGGGTATTTTCCATCCTCTGAAGTCAAAAGAGTGGTTTATAGTGGCAACTTTGTCATACTAATCAAGCAGACATTTGTGTTTATCTATCCCTAAGATAATAGCAATTCCTGCAGCAACATTGCAGTTCCTAACTCAAATATTTTTAATTCCTTTTCTTTCTCTAGATCATAAAAAAGCTTACAATGGCAATGCTCTGGAAATTCATGAGAGTAGCTAAGTATTCTAAAACAGCTTTATCATCAAAAGTAAGAGGAATTCCCACCCATTCAAGGCATTCTTCATCCAAGTCTGTACCTTCAGATTTTGCTGCCAGTGCACCCTGCTCAAATACTGTGGAACTGCTTGGTAAATCTTATCCTCAGGATGACTACAGCAATGTCACAGAGAAGATTCTTTCCAAGGTGGGGAAGAACTTGCACAACAGAAAACATCACCCTTTGTGGCTAATCAAGGAGCAAGTGAAGGAGCACTTCTACAAGCATTACCTAGGACGCCGTGGGACTCCGCTCTTTTCTGTGTATGACGGTCTTTCTCCAGTGGTTACAGTCCAGCAGAATTTTGATAGTTTACTTATTCCACAAAACCATGCCAGCAGAAGGAAAGAGGATAACTATTACTTGAATCGTGACCACATGCTAAGAGCACATACGTCAGCCCATCAGTGGGACTTGATACACTCTGGCCTGGACGCCTTCCTGGCAGTGGGAGATGTGTACCGCCGAGACACGATCGATAACACCCACTACCCTGTCTTCCATCAGATGGAGGGAGTGCGTCTCTTCTCCTGCCATGAGGTATGAATTCTCTAGCTGGGGTGAAAGACATTTTGGGTAAGTTGCTTGGTCTTGTGTTTGCTGCAAGCAAACTTCATCCACATGAACAAGGTTCGTGCACGTAAGCATGTTGCAGCAACAATGTTATGCTGCACATTGATAAAGATCAAGTGATTTATCATATAGCAATATTTTTAATTTGCAAAAAATGTAGATGGAAAGTGTTGAATTTGAAAACAACTATAAAATTCCCTAGGAAAGTGTGAAAAATTGAAAGACAATATTATTGAAAGCTAGCATAGTGAAACAATCTGAAATGAAACAACTTGTTCAGTTAATGATCTGCACAACTCAGTTCTGTTGCTGTCATGACTCTTTTCTGGTGAGATCACTTTACCAAAATCTCTGTCAAATTAATTCTTGAAGAACTCCTTGGATGTGAGTTGTTACAGCTACTTCCATAGTACAGTTTTCACTATAGTCTTTTTCTTTTAATAGTGCCAACCTGACATAAATGAATGTCATTTTCTAGGGAATTGTTCCAGTCTTCAACTCATCCTAAAGCTGCAATGAAGGATTCATCTGTTGCAGCCAATATTTATGTGTGCGTGATGCATGCACACCCGTCAGTCCAGAGGCACCAGCTGAAGAGCTCTAGGTTGATGTCCAAGACTCTTAAGTTTATATGTTTTGTTGGCACAGCTTGCATGCTCTGCAAATGCCCGGGTGTCATTAAGTACTCTGCTGCATCATTGATCAGTGGTAAATATAAGCCAGTTTGTTTTCCAAATAGTAATTGATTTGTATAATTTGTGTATGCTTGTAGCAATACTGCCAAATTCACAGTTCTATAACTAAAACTAGCTTATTCTAATAATACTGAGATGTAGACCATTCTTAATGTGCTTGCCAGCGGGTGACAGGAGCTTGGCAGAGAAGCCTGATGCCTTTGGATGCCTGAGGGAAAACTAAGGTAATCACAGAACACTGCTTTTCTCCATGATGGAAGGTGCTCGTACTGCCTGTGCTGCACTCTCCCACCCCGTGCAAACTCATACCTGAACTCATACCTGCCTCTGCAGGTGTCCTGAGAGCTGTGTGGGGCTGAACTCAGCCTGCAGCTGCTGCTTTGGTAACCACAAAATGGAAATACTGCAGACTTAGTCAGCCTTGTTTGTTTGCTGCTCTTTTCCCTTAGGCCTATTTATGAATATAGTCAGGATGTATGGTATACAATACTATATTAAGAAAATACAATTCCTTAACCATTTTTATTCATCACACAATATTTTTTTTACAGTTTCACAGAAGTTCAGTCATTCAGATGGAAATATTTCACTTGCCACAAAATTATAACGTCACCATTATTGCAGGATGAAATTTCTTCAACCTTGGGTGTGATTGATCTAATCATTGAGCTACTTGTTTATGAATATACCCCTTAAGAAATTTTGGTCCTAATGATGGACTATTTCTTTCAGCTCTATAAATTTAATAATAGGAATAATAGGATTTGAATAACTGGGAACAGAGTTACAGAAATGTTTTCACTGACATATTCTATCTAGAAATATACAGTGTTCAACAATCTAATTCATTACACTGGAGATTGTTTCTATTTCCCCAAGAAAATAATGGGGATGTTATTGGGGATTTTCCTAAACTGATGAAGAAAGAATAGTGGTGTGGTGTATGATCTGTAAAGTGTTGTTTAATGGGCAACATAAAAAATTATAAACCTGAGCATGATCTGATGCATCCTTTTTTGCTTCAGTTTGTGTTTCAGTATATACCCCTTTTTACAGTCTTAATCACAAGAGCCTTGTGGAAAAAATGAATGTGCAATTCTGAAATTTCACTGGGGACTATTTCTGTGTTTTGTATTCTGGTTGCCTGTTCAGAATAATCCACATTTAAATAATTCCAGAAGGAACTGTCTGAGCAGAACAAAGACTAAATAGAGGTAATACTGCATGAGAGAAATGCTCTGATACTCATTTATTTATACTCAAGTTTGAGCTGTAGCCCACTGAGCAGAAACATGTGACTGTCAGGGCCTGTTACCCTTCTCTCAGACTTCTCATTCCTAACCAGGCTTCAGTCTCTGGTGAGAGGAAATTTGCACAAGTACCAAGGATCAGAATCTTTGGAACCAAAGGAAAAAGAGCTCTTACCTACAAGCCCTGGGTACATTTCATGTTATGGCCAATACAGTAATTTTACATGCTGTTGTCAGTTTGCTGCTCTAATTTGTTCTTTTTCTTTTTAAATTTATCATTCACTGTCTTCTCAGTGTAAGTGACCTAAGAAGATGTCAGAAGAAAAACAAAAGCTTAGAGTGATTTTTATAATAACTTGAGCTTAGAGGAATTTGATGTTTGTTCTCAGTTTAGGAGGTGTGGGGAGTCATTTTGTCTTCAGCTGAAATTTTATTCAGGATACAAAAAATATAGGTGTATATAGGTAAATCTCCTTTACAAATACCTAATTCTGTAGTCATGACTAGGTTAAAATTCCTGTCCTATGATGGAAGCCTTCATCATCATTCTTTATATCAATTTTAAAATCAGTATGTTGAAGTAAGATCTGGAAAAACAAACTAAGTTTGGCAGTTTTGCAGTATTTTTTCTGATATATTTGTGAGCTATTTGGTTTTTTGGCTATATGTTTTTTCATGATGGCTCAGTGATTACTTTTTAAAGAGAGAAGTAATCTATAATTCAAAGATGGGCAGGTAACTGATGCATTTCTGCAGCTTAGTATGAGTGTAAATATTAAAGTGCTAAAGAAATTGCCATCTCCCAGACTAACTCATTGCTAAAAGTTAGAATAATTCATGCTTAGAAAATGTTATTAAATTTTATTCTCATAAAAAATGTCCTTGGACTGCTATCAAAGAACATCTGAAAATACATTTAGACATGTTTTCAATATATTTAAAAGTATTTTAGGTGGTTATTATCTGAATGCAATAGAAGAACAGGTAGAAACTGACTAACATAAATAGTTAAAACCAAAAATAACTTCCCAAATCTACTTCAGAATTCTGAACAAAAAATGAGCTGTTCTTCTTAAACAGTACCCCCAGATGATACCCTTTTGTATTCACTTCCTCCAACATTCCTGCTTTTCTTCTAATTGGTGTGTGAATTTTTTTTTCCTTCTATGGTGTATGGCTTTTTTTCTTTTGGTTAGTACTTTGGATTGGCAATTTTGATACTGCTGTATTCAGATCTGAACTGGCCAATTTTCTTGGGTGTATTATAAGAGAAATTATTTCCGTGCTATGCCATTGCCTTTGGTGCAGGTCCATAATTTATGGAAAAGAGAAAAAAAATCTCAACTACATTGCACTTTGTGCATGTTAGCCAGAAGAGGGAGCCAATATAAACCCAATGGCAGTCAATGAACAGATTTCAGTTGACAACAAAAAATGTTTACACATTTGCAGGAGACTTCATGTGGTGTTTTATAGTCTATACTAAATAATACATAAATTTTAAGGGGAACAGATGCTAAAACATAGGAATTGCTCCTCTAATTTAGTAACCTTGCTCCAGTGGAGGCCAATACAAGGTTGTTTAGATGAAAAAATTATGCTCTCATCAGGCTTGTTTGTACTAGAAGTAGTAAGGATATATCTTTATTCTCCATTGAAATGCTCATGGTAGAAATGAAAACTTTTTTGTTAGGATGCAATGGGAAAAGAGTAAATATTCTAGTTACAAATAAAGAATTGCTCCTCCAAAGCACTATATATAATTTTTTTAAAAAGTCAGTATTGTAGCTTCTTTTGTTTATATCCTGAAAGGTAAAGGCCTTTGTCCTAGGTAATAGGAGATTAGTAGATTTTTCTCTTTTTCATCGAAATACATACTCCTTTCCTCATCTTCCCATACTTCAGTACCTTGGCAATATTCCTGGTGTATTGTTAAAAAAAAAAAAAAAGAGGTTGCTTTTATCCTTTTCCTTGTGGTATGGGATGATGTGAACTCCTGATTGACCACTCATCTGCAATTTTGGGGTTCTTTTTAATCAAGTGCTGTGCTGGGTTTTCCCCATGGAAAACTTGTGTCTTTAGGTTTGACTTCTCCAAAATCCTAGATGTTACTGCAGCTTTGGACACTGTGCTGTTGCTCTGATGTATCAAAGAAGGGCTCCTCCCTGTCTTCAATCCCTTTTTTTTAATCTTCACATGTAAAGGAATTGAAATCAATTTATAGTGTTCCAGGGATCAACCTACTTCATGGAGTTATTTGGAGCTTTTCCAGCATGTCTGAGAGTGCTTGTGAGTGGGAGTCATAGTAGCAGTGTTTAGCTGGGCACAAAGGAACAAATATTTTAAAAGGCTTAAATGGCCAAGGAGCCCTTCTTAGCTTTCTACAACTTATGAGTAGGGTTGTGAGCAAAGCGTCAGTCCCAAGGAGCCTGAGAGCTGTCCCTCCTTCTCACAGGGAGCAGCAAGGCTGGTGCAGGAGCAGAGGCGCTTGAACTAGATCCACCTGGGCAAAAAAAAGGAGCAGCAGCATTACTTTGCTAGAATATTCTGAGGTGAATTTATTCCTGAAGCTGCATTTGAACTCAGTGGTCACAATGAAGAGCCTGGCTAGTTTAGGTGGAACTGATTTCACTTTCTCCAGTATTTATCCAAGATGTGAACATTGTATTATTCGGTGTTTTCCAAATTGTGGTGTATAAATCATGCCATAATAAATAGATCTTCACTGATCTGAGGATTCAAATTGTATTCTTTGTTATTTTTAGTCAAAAATTTGACAGTGAAGGGCATCAGAAGGTCTGTTAGATTTTGATAGTGATCCATGGTCTAGGCAGTTTGAAAACTGATGGTGCATCTTTTACTGCGGAGACTTCATATTTTTTTCAGACGTTGTCTTTTTGTTGTCCAGCTAAAAAAACCCAAAGAAACCAACAAAGCTTTTCAGAATAAAGCCATTAAATCTATTAAATACAATATTTAAATTGTGCAGGAGAATAAAAAAAAGAGGAAAGTGTCCACTAGTATATTTGGGAAGTCTACGGTACTTAAAAGTCAAGGAATTTCTACTGCTGCAGAGACAGAAGTCTATGATAGATGTCTCATTATTTCAGGTATCTGTGTGGCAGTGTTACTTTTTCTTTCTGGTTTGAAAACATTTATTGTTTTCCCATTTCTTACTGAAACACTTTGATTAGATTAAAAAAAAAAAAACAAACCAAAAATCCAGCCCTCCACCCCTAAAAAACAACAGAGGTTACCTTTCATTGCTGTAATTGGAGAACTAGAATGGAAGGATGTAGAAATTAGGGTGAACACCTTCAAGTTTGTGGGTTGAAGTAGTTTTTTTGCCATTTTCTGCCCCCCAAAATCCTTATTGATATGCTGTGAAGAGCATTCTGTCTTGTGGCTGTGTATCTCTTTGGTGCCTGAAACTGGCTGCATCAGGGTGTATAGTTACACCTTGGAGGCTGGCTGAGACTGAAATTAGATTTTCTCTTTGAGGCATCTATTGGTGGCATCTTCAAAATTCCTGATCCATTTGCTGAGTCTTGAGTTCCACACCACATTTAAAATATTGTGGGAATGGTTTGATATTTGTAAGTGGATTCAGAGTGCAGCTGTTAGTTAATTTTTAGAGATATTTATTAGGGCCAGTGAGACAAAATGTATTTGGGGTGGCAAGGTTGGGTGTAGTCACGTGCAGATCCTCATCTAGAGATAATTTTAAATGCCTGAGAGTATAAGTATATGAATATGATTTATTCATTTTCTTAATCACTGGTGTATGCATGAGTGGCGGGAGGAATACACAACTGCATTGTGGAAAGACAGGATATAGTTACAGATCTCTCTGATCTCAAACCTACTATGAATGCCATCCTGAAAAGAGGCACTTAATTTTGAATACTAAGTGTATGGATAATGAAGGGATGTGAGACTAAAAAGTCTGTCAAATGACGGAGGAAATGCTGAGGTCTTTGTTTAAATCACAAATGTGACTTCTGCCCTTCATGCCAGGCTGAGAAATGCTGGAATGTGCTTTTGCTTATCCCCACAACAAGGACCATAGCTCTATTTGTACTTGTCCAGTTAAAAGTCTGTCTTGCCATTACATGTAATCAAATTTTGATTTGTTTTTAAATTTTATTTTTATTATGAGCTAAACTGTGAGTAAACTTCATGCCAAATGCTTAGGTCACTTCAATTCCTTTCTGCCTTCTCCTTTGTAATGAAGCATCAGTCAGATATGCTGCTAAATCCTGGGAAGTATTAATTTTTTTGACTTTTTCATGGTGATCCAATATTCAATGTTTTGCACACCTTTGCTCAAAGAAAAATCTTCGTGTCCTTACACGAGACAGACGCGTAGGTGCTCGATTTATGGCTACAGGAAATTTCCTTCCTGCTTGTAATAGTGACTGATTGTATTCAATGCAATAAGATAGTGCATGCTGTTTTAGTCTGCTCTGAGGGAATGAATGTATGTGAAATTGGTGTCTTGCATGTGTCAGTGTTTTATGCAAGATCTTAGGTATTTTTTTTCTCCATTTGCACAGACATGTGCCTGAGAAAAATTGGCATGAAAAAGGAATGACTGTAGGTGATTCTTCATTTTATTCAAGCTTTGACTTTCCTGGCTTTATGTGTACAGAAATGTTGAAGTGTTTCTAATCCAAGACGTGTACTTAGCACAGTTCAGTTGTTGTAGTAGTGAAATTGGCATATCGGTTTAAAGCTGCTCGTATTGACATAGCAATGTCAGTGAACGGGAAGTCAGGAATAAATATTAATACAACTGTAAGGTATCTCTTTTTTGTTTCTTGGTATAATCCCATCTGCAGCTGATGGAGCCTCCGTGGAGAATACCAAAACGCCTCTCTGTGCCTGACTGTAAGGGGGAGCTGTTGTCTTGCCTGTTTCAGGGACTTCCCTGTGGCTGTGCTTTCAGAGCCTGTCTGAACTGGACTAGAGTCACACCTGTGCCCAAAGTGACCCAGCCCTGTTCTGTGTGCTAGCTCATCTCTTGGAGCTGCTAGTATGCTGATATTTGATTACTAAGCTGGACTTGACCATTTTCACATCCCTCAGTTTCTTCCCTTCTCCTGAGTTACTGCCCATCTGGATCCATCTCCCAGCCTGGCTCAGTACACTGCTGCATGGACCCTTGCCCTGGCTTGGAGAAGGAGCCTATGACTTGGAGGCACTTGGAGATAGTGCCTGTGACTTTTTTTGGCAGGATTAGGGCTCAGGCCGGTGCTGCATTATGACTCAATGTATTTAACGGTTCTTGCATGTATTTTGTTTCCACATCTGCTATAAGCCACTGAAATAGAATTTTACTTTAGACTGTAATTGTTACATCAACATTTCAGAAATAATACAGCAGTAAGGACAAGTATTTCTATGTACTTGATATGTATGCTGTATTTTGAAGGCTAGCATCCAGACTGTCTGTTCTTTGTAGTGGTCTGAGGAGTGTCTTAAGCTGAAGGGAGGAGTAAAGGAAAAAAGGAGGAAGAGAGTTTCATGTCCTAAAATACTGCTGATAGGTAAAATAACAAATGTACCTTCTAATGTGTAAATACAGTGTATTCTGGTCAAAAGAGGGAACATCTCCTTTGCCTGAAGGGTGTTTCTGGCTTAGTGAGTGAGTCAGTCAGTCAATAGAAAAAATAGCTACCTGTGCAGGGTTGCTCAGAGCAGGAACCTAATTTAGGCCCTCCGTGTTCCTCTGTGAGGGAGCCTGTGTCTCTCCACTGGCCACCTGGTGAGCCTAAGACAATTATCCTCCCTAGGCTAATGCTGGCCTCTCTGAATTCCCCCGGCTTTCAAAACCACGTGCTGGGTGACCGATCTGCCTTGCTGACAGCAAATTAGTTGTAGGGTGGGTATTATCTTCTTGTTCCAGTCAAGGTAGGATTAATATCAGTGAGAAGAAGGGGGTTTAATCTTTCAGATGAGCACTTGAATAAAGAATCTGTTATTTGAAAGTGTGATACTTTGTTTGTCAAGCTACTTGCTGGCTTTTGGTTAGTAAAGGCATTTCTGTTAGACTGGTGGAGAACAATTTTATTTGGTATTTATACATTCCCTTTTTAATTTAGTAATTTCTGCAGCACACTAAGAAGATTAAGAGAAGAAACATTTTCTAAATCTGCCAGCAATCTCCTTGTGGCTAGCAATACAAAGTTAAATACTACTGGAATTTTTTTTTTTTTTTTTTATTTCTTCAATCCACTGCGGTGCTAGTTTGCCTGCTGTCTAAACTCAGACTCTTCATTCATTGTGTCTGCAGGAAATGTGCTAGAAACTAGTCCTAATTAATTGTATCTAGCATTTGTGGAATACCAAGGATTCACTTGAACTTTTTGTTTGGAGCATTTAGTGCTCTGAAGGCATCAAACTGCAGTTAATAACTCACGGATGCCCACAGAAGTTGTTTTAAGGTTACACACTATTCGTGGCATCTCCTGAGTAAGAGCTATTTGTGTTGGGAGGCTTAATGGAAAGAAAATCTCAGTGCATGTTTTTCCCCTCTGTGTGTGCTTGATTGACTAGGGGAAGGTAGAGGAGGAGGGGTAGGAAAGAGCACTAGAAGCATTTTCACAACTGGCTCTCCCTACCCTCAAGACTTCACCCCAGATATGGGAGATTTGTACAGCTGTAAGGATTTCCAACAAAAGTACTCTTTAGATTGTAAAACCACCTGCTTGTTTCCCCAAGACACAGAGCCTCTAACAGTGTTGTTTAATGAATGTGTTTTATTTGTCTCTCTGAAAGGATATAGTTTTGCTGGTATGTACCTGGCCAGAAACATATGGGGATATGCAGAAAACAGAAATATTCAACTTGCAGCAGATGTGGTAGGTAGCAGTGTCCAAATGAAGAGCAAGTCTGCCACATCCAAAACCAGCTGTCCCTGTGCTTCGTAACTTATCTGGATACCCCCACCTGAGATCATGAATCCTTACATGCCCCAAAGACAAAATTCTTGTTCACAAAAAGGATGCTGTGTGTGGGAATATACAGGAAAATGGTAGTCCTTAAATGAATGTAAACTGTACCCAGGATGAATCAGCTGTAAGCAGCTTAAGTCTCACTAAACTGCCAGGGTTTGTTTTGGGGTTGTTTGTTTGTTGGTTTGGGTTTTTTTTTGTTTGTGGTTTTGGTTTTTTTTTGGTTTTTTTTTGCGGGGTGGGGGGGGGTTGGTTAGTTTGGGTTTGTTTTGGTGTTGTGTTTCTGTTTTTTGTTTCTTTTTTGTTGTTTTGGTATTTCTTTTATATCATCCAAGTACTAAAATAGTTGAAGTTCTGATAAATGCCATTGAGTTCATTGTGTTTTGTAGTTTTTGGGGTGTTATTTGCATACACTGTTTAGAGTGCTTTGTTCTGCACGATAACTTTCAAAGTAACTGAATCAAAAAAGGAGACATGCTTATTTGTAAATTATTATTTTCCTGTAGCTAATCATATTATTTGATGATAGAAATAAACTAGATATAATTATTTGAGCATTTTTGTTCTTACAGAGATTCATCTCTGCATTTAGTGAACAGAATTTGTATTAAGTCAGTCTTTGTTTGTTTTTCACAGTGCAGACTTAGCAGGTAAGATTCCCACTTTAAACAGAGAATGAAGTTTCATTGATTTTCATTCTGGAGGTCACTGATGCAAAGCATGGTGTTCTTGTGGTTTTGTTTTTGTTCTAGTTGTTCTCCAGCATTAAAGATGGTGAAGGTTTACAGCTGTTTGAGCAAGGCCATCGCACTGCACACAAGCAGGAGTGTCACACCATGGAGGCAGTGAGACTGGTGGAGTTCAACCTGAAGCAAGTGCTCACGAAGCTCATGACTCACATCTTTGGTGATGGTAGGCTCTTGCACCTTTTCCCCCAGATTACTCATGCCTATAGTCGTTTGGGCTTTGGAGAAACATTTTCCTGCATAACACAGACAGGAAGCTTAGAGGTTGTGTTGGCAGCTGGTAATACAGAAACAACCAGATGGGTTTTTCCAAGAGGCCACACATTCCTCTCTGGGTTTTCCTAAATACTGGTGCACACAACACTGTGTTGACTCAGCAGGTTTTTGTGAAAATATTTAGGTGTGCAGCATGTCAGAGTAACGTGGTGAGCACAAATGCAGGTGGGGACGTGTGGAGACACAGCTATCAGCAGTGGTCTGGCAGAAGCTGTGTGCTAAAGGCCTGTCAGAGTGGGTCCTGCGAGGAGAGGCAGCTCCAGCTCCAGCACAAAGCTCTGCAGGACCCCCTCTGCTTCATCCTCGTGGGCCTCCTGTGTTCCTGGAGGGATGGAGCATGGGTGCAGCGTCGCATCTGGGGTGCATGGGAGCTTGAGTGCAGCTGGGCAGCGTTCAGATCCTGAACCAGCTGCATGGGGATGGGCAGGAGCAGGGAAGGGGTGCCTGTGTCCATGTGCTGCATCCCTTGTGCAGATAAATTAAACCTTCCAGCTGAGGGCAGACCGTGTTTGCTAAGTTCACATCAAGCTGAACAGTAATTGTTTTCTGGTACTTACAGTGGAATGAGGAAGGGTAATCGATGTGTATATGAATGAAGTATTCTCTCCTCAGAAATACCTGCTTTCAGTTTCAGGAACTGAATTTATAAATGGCCTGAGTCAAAATTGCTACATTAATGCTATTTCTTGGCAAGGAGGCTGCTCTTCTGAGCTGATTCGTTTTTCTGTTGAGGAAATACTGTATGGTATTAGAATGCATGAGGTATCTTGCCTACTTTCTAAGGTGTCTTAAGATGTTTACTGCACTTAGAGCAGTAGTTCCAAGAGTGGATTGATAATGATACCAAGTTCTATATATGACTGCTTGAATATTTTTCTGAATTTTTCAAGTTGACTTATAGCACGCAAAACTTTTACCAGTTATTGTCTATTCCACCTGAACAAAAATTTTGAAGTTCCTCGGCTCAAAGCTTCTTGTAGGTGTGTTTTACTTAACAGTGACCTTTTTAAACATACAAAATTGGTATGAAAGTGGGTAACAGTAAGAATGATACATGTAGATCAACTTCAGATGCTGAGGATGTTTAAAGTGAGCAATTTCACTGAGTTATTAGTGGTATCTCAGACTGCAGTGGCATCCTTCTCTAACTGTTGACAGATATTGCACTTTAATCCTCAGCATGTTTGCTATTACTAGTTCTTATACAGTCCACCCAGTAGCTAAAAAGACATTAAAATATATTCATAAATTATTTTAAATGTACAAACTAAAGGTAGATCCCACCTTCTTACTCTTGGGGATTTCTCTTTCTATACCCCCAACATTTTTCCTGGAATACAAACACAAGATATAGTTATTGCATTAAATTTAATATGCTTTTAAAATTAAATTTACATATGTATGTATATATATGTGTATTTGCCCTATTCCCATTATATATATATATATATATATATAATATATATATAATATATATTTCCATTTGCCATATATATATTTCCATTTGCCCCATGGAAATACAGGAATTCAAAGTATTCAAAGTTCATGTTAGGCACAAAGTATATGAGATTGGTGCAGTGCAACTGTCTTGGGGCACGCATAAATAAATTTGTCTTTTGATAGCTGTCATCTTTTAACTAGCATTTTACTCTTTGCATGGTACTCTTGATTACTTTTTGTATCTTGACTCCTATAAATGTTAACTTAATATTTAAAATATGTTTATATGTGTTGCTCTTGGAAAATTTCTATGTTTTTCCTATATGTGGATATTTCATAAGGCACCATGTTTTCTTAAAAGCAAAAATTTAATTCCTTTATCCTTTGCATCAGTTGTATTCTGTACAACCTGTGCTGTCAGCAGAATATTGAAGTTGCACATCTTTTCTAGCAGGATAGCATGACCCCACAGCTGCAGTGAGTGACTGAAATGTTGCATTGTCATACAGTCAACTGTTTTTTGTAGGTAGATTGTTTGGATTGTAGCTTAAGCTTGCTGTACATGTTAGTTTTATATATACTGGATTGTACCTGAAGTCGCGGACTTGGAAGCTGTGCTTCTGCAGTGCTTCTCTGGGAATTTACTAGCTCAGGTTGATGACAGACTGAGGATCTCTGCAGAAAATCATATTACTGACTTGCCCTTTTCTTTTTTTTTTTTTCTCTCTGCATTGTTCTAGGTTAGTTTTCATAATATTTAATGAGACAGTTGGGTTCTACCTGGTTCCTACCACACTATTTGAACAGTAATGGCAAAACAAAGTTGCTTAAAAATCACTGTGTTGTCCTAAGGAAAGTCGAAGACTTCATAGAGTCTGCACTTACCCTTGTTACAAAAGTTTGTCTTTTTATGTCTTTCTGGTTTTGCAACAGGCAAAGGAATGACAGATATTAGAGGAGGGAGAAAGTTCTGGAGCATCCAATCAGTTGTCTTATAAACTTGGCAATATAAAGTAGTTCTTTTAATGGCATTTTCTGATGGTATTACATGCCTGATTTTGCATTCTACAAGTAACTGTCTTTCAGTTCCTTCCATTTTTCTGTCAGGAAGATATTTCAGATAGTGCACCTAGACATCACCTTTCTTAGTTTTCCTCTCTTACTTCCATGAAGTGCACACTTAAAATCCACTAATTAAAGTTACACATCCATCTCCCCATACAGTTCTGCCAGTGTAGGTAGTCTGTTAGTTCTCATTTTAGTTACCTAGTAACAAGGCTGTCCAAGATTTCCTTATAAAGTTAGCCAGTCTTTTTCAACTATGGTTCTTTCTCTAACACTTCTGTGGTTTGCAAAAAGCTTTCTGCACCCTGAGAGACTGAGAAGTAATCTTACTGTAGCAAATAGAAAATAATGACTGTGTTGCTGGTTCTGTGATTTGTTGCTTTACATGCAATGGCTCAAATTTCGCTGCTATCCCATATTTATCTACCCAGTTCCTAGGCACTGGTAAGGGAAGGCAGGAGAGTGAGTAATGCTGTGCTTTGACTGATGGCTTTGCCGCTGCTGGGTCTCACTGAACTGCCACTGGATATCTTTTAAATCAAACATGTTCTGCTCATTCTCCTTAATTCTGTTGTACTGATACTTCCTTTGAGTGCATGGAGATCTGTGAGTGTAATAAGTTAAAAAAAAAGTAAATTATAAAGGACATAATGGTCTGGCTAATAATTTCTGAAAAATGTGAGCTAATACAGGTTTATATGGGCAGCCACCTCCTGTCTGCTGCAAGTATGATGAATTATCTGAAACAATGAGGTGCAGAGTACTTACAGATTGACACACACCTCAAGAGGCCACAGTTCAATACCTTCTGTGCCTCCCAGCACCCTCCTTGCACCCCTCTCCTTTTTATTCCACAACCTTGTCTCTAAAAATAATCCTCACAGCAACAAAGAGAATTTCTGGTCAGTGTATGACCATCTGGGTCTCAGGCTTTATTGCCTCTGTGCTGTAGTGTAGTAATAGGCTGCTTTAATGTGTTTGGTTTGTTCTTTTTTCTTGTCTTTCTTTTTCAGTGGCTTTGGTCAAGCCTTTTTCATTATGAGACTCAATTAGGCTAGCACTTGTTTAGCTTAATATCTAATAACACCATTACTTTTGAGTGCAGGCTATGGCCAATTCCTTACCTAGACTCAGTGTTCAGAAATAACAGTAATTATTCACTATTTCCATACTGATCTCACATATAAGTTACTGTATTGGATTTGCATGGCAAGGTTTTGGTAGCAGGGAGACTGCAGGGGTGGCTTCTGTGAGGAGCTGCCAGACGTTTGCTCCATGTCTGACAGAGCCAGTGTCAGCCAGCTCCAGGACGGACCCATTTCTGGCCAAAGCTGAGCCCATCAGTGATGGTAGTGGCACCTCTGGGATAACAGACTTTAAAAGGGAGGGAAAAAATCCTGCACGATTTGCAGCCAGGGAGAGGAATGAGAACATGTGTGAGAAGCAGCCCTTCAGATACGTCTGTTGAGACACAAGGTCAGTGGAGAAGGAGGGAGAAGAAGGAGGTGCTCCAGGTGCCCGAGCTGAGATTCCCCTGCAGCCCATGATGCAGACCATGGTGAAGCAGCTGTGCCCCTCCAGCCCATGGGGATAAAGGAGTCCATCTGCAGCCCATGGAGCACCCCATGCTGGAGCAGGTGGATTCCCAAAGAAGGCTGGAACCCTGTGTTGGAGCAGGCTTCTGGCAGGACCTGTGGTCCTGGTGGAGAGAACCATGCTGGAGCAGGAGGTTCTTGAAGGACTGAGTGCTGTGGCAGGGACTCATGCTGGTGCAATTAGGAAGGACTGTCTTCAGTGGGTATGACTCCACCCTGGAGCAGGGGAAGAGTGGAAGAGAAAATGAGGGATGAGCTGACCACAGCCCCCATTCCCCATCCCCACTGCTGGTGAGGAGGAGGTGGAGATTTTGGGGGTGGAGTTGAGCCTGGAAGAAGGGAGGGATGGGGGAAGTTGTTTTCAAGATTTAGTTTTTATTTCCCATTATCCTGCTCTGATTTGATTGGTAATAAATTGAATTGCTTTCTCCAAGTCAAGTCTATTTTGCCCATGACTGTAATTGCTGAGTGATCTCTTCCTGCCCTTACCTCCACTCATGAGCCTTTCATTAAATTTTCTACCCCTAGTCCAGTAGAGGAGTGGTAGAGCAGCTTTGCTGGGAGCCTGGTGTTCAGCCAGCATCAGCCCAGCACAACTATGAATGGACCTCTACCCACTGGAAGGACTCTCATGAACACTGTGAGGTTCTGAAATGAGCAGGTGTGTTTGTGTCTGATAACACAAATAATTTCTTTGAACCGGAAAAGTTATGAAATTTGTGTCTAGTGGTCAGGCCTTGATTAGATTCAGCAGTGTGCTCTTGTAACTGCCTGTTTTAAGAGAGATATGTGTCTCTTGACCTCCTAAAATTCCTAGACAAGATCAATTTTGCCAGTATTTCATAGGCTGTATGTGAAGAAATAAACTAGGTTGAATCAGGAAAATCATATAGTACTACAGGATGCCTAATCATCATAATCCTTTAAAGTCTTTAGTGGTTTAATTTGCTGAGTGTAAGTGATGCCCTTTACTTCTTGGGAATATATTGAGCACCAAGACAATATTTTGTATCTAAATAATAAATGTACCCATTTGTTCTGTGACACTCTATAGAAATGCAGTTAATGTTGCCAAAGGCTGAGCATCCTCTGCTTTTCAGTAAAGTCTTCTAGAGCCAAAAGTCTGAAAGAACACTTGAATATAAACTATAGAGGTATTCCCAAATGGATCCTGTATGAATAAAATTATTGTGGTGTGTGGGATTAACTATTAATTTAGAGAACAAAATGAAGGTGATAGTTGTTTCTTCATTGTGAATTTGTTTTGGTTTATTCAGAATGTTGTTTGTTTGCTTATTTGCATTTAAACCGGAAGCCTCTTAATTGTACTCATCTTAAGTACTTATATGCATTAAAATTCAAAAATAAAAAGAGCTTTAAATTATTTTTTTACATTTTAAAATTTATTTTAATTAAGAACAAACAGCTGAGAAATCCTTTTTTTTTGCAGAGCTTCATTTTTTAAGTAATCAGAGGATGAACAAGAAACCATTATCTGAATGTTGTTACTGAAGCCAAAGTAGTTGAATATTCAATGTAGTTGCTGCAGTTGCAAATTTTGCAAGCTAAATTAGAATATTTTATATGTGCACAGCCCAAGGATTAAAAATGCCAAGATCAGGAAATTAAAGAAAATATTTTCTGCGCACTATATTATTGTATACATGACTCTTTTCATCTATGTATTTTTTATTGTCATGCAGACAAAAAGGAGCAATCAAGTGATTGCTGTTACACTACAATTGTGAATGAAACTATTGTAAATATTTCTAGTTTTCTGAGTTCTGTCTATACAATTATAAAAAACCTTTTCCATTACTCATATACTTTCCTGAGACTGGTTTTTAAGAAAGCAGAGAAAATCTAGAAGTGCCAGTCTGTTTGATTTGAAGCTTGCCTTGCCATTTGAAATTTCGTAGCATCTAGAAAAGTTCCCTGTGACTGTTAGGAGGTATTTTATGTTTTGGCCATCACGTACGTCTTTGTTGTGATTTATTGTTTCAGTTTCTGTAGCTGCATTTCATGTTTCAGAGGTAATCAATGAAGATGTAATTCTTGAGGCTACTTTAAATATTTTCATTTGAAAAACATTTGGTATGAATCATGCCATTTCATGTTTTACATTCCTCTTATGAAACAATACCAAAAAAACTTGAAGATCAAACCAGGAATGTTAACAGTTGCTGTCATTCACGCTACCTTTGCCTTTCAAAAATAAGGTTCAGCTCCTTATTTTTGAAGCTGGACCTGCCTGGTTTTTAATGATCCTAACTCTGATTAGCATTTGGCTTAATTGAAGAGAAGACGTATTTGGGGTTAAGGCATTAGCTTAGCTTACAGAATTTGCATTTCAGTTCTCTATCTAAAGTTTTTATGGTTCATGTTTCTGAGACTTCTTTCCTGACACCTAATGGTTAGAAAAAAAATTTAGTGAAACAAAGCGTCTGTACATCATTAGAAGAACTAGAACTCATCAAATATAATGAGCGCTTCAACACAATTCTGCTTTTGGCAGCACTGAAGACCTTGGGAAGGAAGACCTTGTCCTCTTCTGGCTGCACTGCTCTGAGATGCCAGGACTTTCCTTGCTCTGCACAGTGCTATCTGCAGAGGTGCTGAGCAGGGGAGGATGGTGGGGAATTACCAAGTGGGGATTTTCCCTTACACTTATCTACCAGGTCCAGAATGCTCTGTGCATGTGTTGCATATCTTAATAATGTACAACTCTGTGAAAATATATTTCCATTTGTGTATGTTAATATCTATTTTTAAACATATACAGAGAGAATAGCTCTGTATCTTAATTAAGTTTTGATGAAAAAAAATTACTTGCCTAGACAATCCATAAAATACTAAGTAAAAATTAAAGACTTAGCTAGCTTTTCCTGTGAGAAGCAGTTAGTCATTTCCTGGTGTAAAGAATAACAAAATTACTGACTTTCCCATTATCTTGGCTCATTTTTGTTCGATGCCAGGTGGTTACTAGAGTTTGACAAATGATTGATTTGGTTTCAAAGGGTGCTTGAATTGCACAAAGCATTTTTCATATTAGAAAAGACATGGTCATTTTTTTCCACAGGTTTTAAGATTTATTGCCTCGCACAAGTGTTGTAAATTAGTTTGTTTGCTATTTATTTTCTCTGGATTGCTGTAATTCATGTCATTAGTTGAAGGGCAAATTTTACAGATGGTTGGAGGGATGGATTTTTAAGCATACACCCTTTCATATTTATTTATTTTTTAAACATTGCTACAGGACTGCAAGTCAGATGGGTAGATTGCTACTTCCCATTTACTCACCCTTCCTTTGAGATGGAGATCAACTTCCAAGGAGAATGGATGGAGGTCCTGGGCTGTGGGGTCATGGAGCAGCAGCTTGTTAACTCAGGTACTGAAACTCCTTTACTTCATTGACATCTCTGTTAGCAAGCACTTCCAGCACAATCAGCTTCACAGCCTGGAATGCCCCTTCTACCCCGGTGAGCACAGACGTGTCCGCATGGCAGCCGCCGCAAATACTCCTCAGGTGGAACGCAGCCCTCGCATGCTGTGGTTTGAGGGTAGCATCCGAGCAAGTGACCTGAAGCCTGCAAACAGAAGGCTTGCCTTTTATTCTGTGCAGTAAGGAGACAGAGGGATGTCAGCTTTAAAAGAAAACCTGCAAGGGTGTGCAGCATGTTCTTTTCTTTCCCAAAAGATGCCAATTGCGTTCTTAGTAACGACTTAAAAGTATCAATAGCAAATAACATCCCTAAATATCTGGAATATCAAAATGCTCCTCTGTATCTAAAGCATAGAAAGAGGAATGTGATATCTTTCATATTGCTGTTTTGTCGCTGGGTAAATGGTGGGTAGCTTTTTTCTTTTGTTTTATTGCGTTTCTCCTCAGGTTGGTCATTTATGAGGTTTAAATTGCATTAAAAGCAACATAATTTATTTTAATTGAAATTATTACAGAGCAGTGTCGCCTGACCATTTTGCTTTCTAAAACTGACACATAAGTATTAAAGAAGGAAAGGAGAAATTGGTGTATTTTTTCTAATTATTTTTTATCTGGAGAATTTTGCATGCTTGCTCTTTCATTTACTGAAGATAGGCAATTTTTAGGAAGCACAGGACGGTGTACATGCTCTCAGTGTTGTTCAGTGTCTTCCAGTACTATTTATTAGTATGTGAGCCTTTTGGAATATGATCTGTGTAATTCCAGCAAGTGGGCTTTCAGATAGCCAACATAACACTCAGTTATTTTTTTCCCACTGGTTTGCTAAGCTGTTGTTGTATTTTCATGTGCTCTAAATTCTTCCTATTGAAGACCAAGTACAATAACTATGAATTACTTAATTTTGGCATAATTTACTTGGCACAGCTTGTTTTCCTCAAAGTTTGCTTGCATTTTAATGTGGTCATTTTCCTCTTAGAAAGATATCCTCTTCCAGAGTTTCCCCACAATGAATTAATGATTTATGCTAATGTTCTCTCAGGTTATTATCTTCATAGTGTGGTAAATACAATACAGCTTCTAATCAGTCTCGGAAGTGAAAGACTGCTGTGTAATATTGTTTCCATTAGATGTAACACACCAGCATCCAGGCTTTCTGCTTCAAAAGCTTTTATGTTGCTCAACTCTTACAATTAGGATGCTCTAATGGGTGTGAAAAGAGCCAAACTGTGTCCCTAAACAATTACTGTATACATTTGTGTGTGTGTGAATGGATGTACATGTAACACCAGAGGTTTCTGCAGCACCTTTTTTTTTTTTTTGCAGCATTCTCATGCGTGGGCTTCCATAGCACTTTCTCACCCTTGAAATTTCACATTTTTTAAATGTTAGACCAGATCAGGATTTTCCAAGGGAGAACAGCCGCTCTCATTCTTAGTCATTCACTGGGTAATGGATCCAGTCTTCTGGACCATTCAGATTTTCCGTGTTAGCAGCAAGAAAGGTTTCTGTTGTCTTGGTGTGTAGATGAGTAAGTATAATTTAGTAAAGGCTGCAAGTACCATCTTCATTAAAGCAAATTTAGCTATTGATTATTTTTAAGAGTTTTTTTGCATTCAGGAAAGTCTCCTACAACCAAAAAAAAAAAAAAAAAGAAGACTGTGGTGTTATTTACTGTTTTCTAACAGTTATAGTATTTCTAACAGTGATACTATTTTAAAAGAAAAACAGAAATCCTATTACAGTGTTTTTATGTAATCATTATAAAAAGTACAGTACTCCAAAGATGCACAGAATTGTAGGGGATGATGTTACATGTTCCCCTAAGGCTGATGGTGTTTAACTTTCTGGTTTTGTGTGCTTACTTTTTCATCTGTATCCCATAATACATAAGTTTAATAGGAGTGCTGTGTATGAATTTCAATATAAATAAAAGGGGTTTTGTTCTGGTTAATCCTGGGAAAAATACAGAAACTTTTCAGTATATTAGAAAGTACTCCCAGTTTTAGGTCCATGATGTGTATACAAGGAAATTGTGTGGTTCAGTAGAGCTATTTTCAATTAACAACACCCAAGGTATGTATTTCTGTACTTCAAGAGTTAGTTATCTAAGATTTGTGAAGCTGGTGTTCATTGGTAGGTGCCCAAGTTTCAAGTCTCCATGAAGTTCTACAGTTCAAACCTTTGAATACAGGACATTGCTTGCTCAGAGGCTGTGATCACTTAGTGTTGCTTAGTAACTGTGAAATTGGAAGCAGTTAGGGTGTGATCCTTTACTGATGGAAATCAATGGCAATGTTCTCAGTGCTCAGTGTTGCAGAATATGTTAGCTGAGGATGGAAGCAAGTAAATTGAACTAAAGTTTACATCAAAACCATGAGACTATAAGCCAAATAATTTAAAAATCAAACTAAACCCAAACACTCTCCCCCCACCCCAAAACAAGCCCAAACCCACAAATAAACAACAAAAAGAAGAGAATCACATAATTTTTTTTGTAAGACTTCTTGTGATGTTTTTAACTCCCGATGTATACAATAAAATAATGTAAGGGTGGCACACCAGATCCAACCTCAAGTCCAAGGCATTGCTGTGTCATGATGATGTATCACTTCCCAAACCAGTGCCTACAGGTGAGTAGAACAGCGTGGTTATACTGATACACTCCTGCAGCTGCGTCTTTCCTGAGCTGAAGGTGGTATGTTTGCTTTCTGTGGTCATTGTGGAATTTTCTTCCATTCATTTGTTGAAATGTTTGAGTCCCAGTAAACCTTCACTCTCTGCAATGTCTTAATTTGCCTAACTTGCATGAGGAATCACTTCTTTCTTGTTCTGACCAACAACTTAGAGATACAGTTAGAGCTCTTCTGTCGTGCTCAGCTCAGAAGAGTTAGTGAGTCTCTCTCTCTTTTTCCTTGTTTAAGCCCCTCAATATTTGTTTAGATTTCAGTTGTAGGTCTTGTCACTGACTTCTTTCCAAGCCAAAGAGTGCTGGTCAGACAGTCCCTCCCTGCGTGGGAGCCTATCCATATGTTGAGTCATGACTGCTCCTGCCTGCGTCTTCTCCAGGCTTCTTTTTTTTCCTTTTCTTATAATTTTTAATATTAATTTTGCTGTGTTGACCTTTAATTATAGTATCAGAGCGACCTCAACACGGGAATAATGTGCATTGACTCCAATGGTTGCAGAAGGCTGATCAAATGCTTTATTAAGGTATACTATATGGTATTGCGTACTATATTATACTATACTAGTACTAAACTGTACTAAAGAAAAACCCCTTACAGACAGTCACAACATAACTTTGACCTAATTGGTCAGTCAATCCAAACATCATCACCAGTCTCCAATTAACAAATCCCTTTTGTTAAACAATCTCCATAGCACATTCCACATGTGCCAAACAACAGATGCAAAAAGTAGAGGTAATAATTGTTTTTCTTCTTCTCTGAGCTTTTTCACTGCCTTCCCCAGGAAAAATCCTGGGGAAGTTGTGTCTGCTGCTCTCTGTGAAGAGAGCTGTGGCCACATTTAATGAGCCTTGAGTTGAAAAAAAAGGGGAGCAGCATGGGATGATGACTGCTGCAGATGATGGCTTTTGATTGCTAGAAGATGATGAAGCATCCTGGCACACAGCTAGACGCTCATCTCGGGGGGGCAGCTCAGGTTAAGGTCTCATTTCCTAAAATTATGAATCATGAAGGCTGCTGTATTTAGGGTACCAGTAAGAGGAATTGGTAGAACTTTCCCACTGTATGCAGATTTTTCTACCTTTCACATCAGAAATTAACGGTGATATTTATTGTCTCACAAAACTGATTTTATTCATTTATGTTTTTTTTTTTTAATTTTATTTTTTATTGTCAGCTTAAAAGGAGTAGAGAATGGTGTAGGGGTTTGGAAGAGGAAATGTCAGTTGAGTTTATAGCAAAGGTGGTTGTCCTAGTTTCTTGTTAATTTTGTGAGTATTTCTAGTAGAGGAAAAATTGCTAACCCTGTCTCAACATTTTCATTAATATTGTTGAACATGACAAAAGGACATTGTTATGAGTTCTACAAATCATTGCTTTTGTTTTAAAAGGTGGAGGGTTGTTTTTTGTGAAACCTGATTCTTGAAGTGTCTTTGCCATTTGGAATTCCTTTTACAGATTAGTGGCAGGACTTATTCCCAAAATTCAAATAGTACTAGGCCCAGGGCTGCCACCTTCAGCCAAATACAAGTCTTAATGTGTAGAACTTGTTTGTCTTCAGTGCTGCAGTAAATAAATATTTCTCTTTCTTTACTCATTTATTGAAGTTCATCGAAATTGCAATTTGAGTGGAAGTAACAAATTTAAAGTTCTTAACTAGTATGCTCCTTTTTGGTTTTGGCAATAGGATTTTCAGTCTGGACAGTTCTCAGTGGGCAGCAGGTTAACAGAAGAATTATGCCAATGTTACCTTGCAGGCACAGGACTTTTTGAAAAAAAAAAATTTGAATATTTTCTTAAAGGAAATATTAGTTATGGGTGAGTTAGGTTCATATATCAAGCAGCAGTGGACTAGGGGACATCTAATTTCTTTCATCTGTCGGGTTTTTTTTTTCCTACTCAGCTCTTGCCTGGTAAATTATATTAAAATGTTTGAGCAGATGGTGCATGTGACTTCAGTCGTGTGCCGGCCCATGTTCTGTCTCTGCTAACAGCTCTCTGTGGAGACCTTGAAATAGTTAATGCTGTATGTGTTTGTATGTATTGTAGAAGGGTAAACATAATGAATTTAAAAAACATGCCTGAAACCCTTCAAGGTGAAATGAAAGTTACAGAGGTATTGGTGTATCGAGCATCTGAGGCCTCCCAAGAACATGAGGTAGAACTGTTGGATGGACTGGTTCTTCCCACAGGGGCACCTAAAGTGATTTAAATCTCTTGCATAAGCTTCACAGCTCCACATCCCAAATCTCCCTGGGT